CAGCTCGCACAACCGGGGTCGAGAGATAGTTCTCGGCCTCCGCCTAGCGTTCTTAGGCAGATCTGCTCCAGATTCTTCCTCGGGACGGTCAGCACCGGGGTCGAGAGGGTTCTCGGCCTCAGCCCAGTGTATCTCGGCAAACCGTCTCCGACTCCTTCCTCCGGGACCGCCGAATCCAGGGGACTGAGAGAGTTCTCACTCCCCGCTAAGAAAATACTTCAACGGCGGATTCCCCCGACAAACAACGCGATCACCGATTCTTAGAATCGGCTCGGGCCACGTGCCCCCCCTTCACCGCACACCGCGCTCACCGGGGACACTCGTCTCGCGCGCCGCGCCGCTCCCCGCGCCTTCCGCGCGCCCACCGACGTCACGCGCCAGCACGTGCACAGCCGATGGGCACTAACCAGCGCTCGCGGTAACTTGTACATATGTATATATATATCGTCCGTCCGAGCGTACCGAGTTGTATAGATCTACGTATTTAATAAACTAGTTCTTTTGTATATATTATACGGAAACCGAGTCTCATTAATTGCTCTTCCCTCTCCGCCCTGAGCCAATTTCGCCGCCCGTTTCCGACAAGCTACTCCGTGCGACGAAATAACGGCAGTTGTTACAATGCAATTTTTTAAAATATCTGAACAAGAACAAGTCGAATTACTCGCAGACGGAGTGAAAGATCCGACGTTACGACGCTTTGCCCTAGACACGCAGTCGATCACAGTACCAGAGTTTATTGAGCGTGTGCGACGAATAACAGAGGACAGCGTACCGCTCAAGAAATACGAGGGTTACGATAATCGATCAAATGTGAGGCGAAGCGCCACGCCTTCAGACAAGGTATGCAGTCACTGTAAGAAGATGGGGCATTTGGTACAAGATTGCCGAATCGCAAAGTTATCGTGTTTCAAAAAGTGGCCAACAAGGGGATCTCAGTACGGCCTGCTCTAAGAAAACGGAGGTGATTACCGGCCGAGTCAACCACCTGGCCGAAGAAAGGGAAGAGAAAGCTGGATCTTACGAGGCGTCTGCATGCGATGAGGAAGCAGCCAGCGACGTTCACGTTATTGAAAGGGGAGTACCATATGTAACTATTCGCGCCATGGACAATCCGGATCGAGCATATTGTATCTTAATCGACACAGGTAGTCCAGTAAGCCTTTTGAGAAAGTCAGTTTATCTGAAGTTCTTTAAAAATAGTAAACTTTTGCTATTGAAGGATAATCTCAGCCTTAAAGGCATTAATAATTCCTCCATTCAAATTTGTGATAAAATTTGCGAGTAAATCTGTCTGGATAAATTGCCGGATCAATGGTTCAACATTACATTATTGATTGTCGAGGATAATACAATTTCTTTTGATGTTTTATTGGGTAGAGATTTTCTTTTAAGTTCAAACATACGATTAATGTATCACAATGGGAATTTCGAGTTTGAATGTCCGCCGGAGGGAAAAGAAATAAATTATCTTTTTTCAATTTAGACTGTCGTGAAGAAAAGAATAAATATGATATTATCAGTGAAGGATTAGATCTGGATCTTCAAATAAAATCAGAACTATTAAAAATATTCAAAGATGTTGATGAGTTATCAATCGAGCCTATTAAAGATGATTATTGTATTCGAGTCCATCTTAAAGATTGTTCTTTTTTTCGATATGCGCCATGTCGTACTTCACATATGGAGAAACGCGAACTGAAAAAAATTACTGACGATATACTCAGTCGTAAAATAATTAAGCCGAGTATCTCGCCTTATTGTGCGCGGACAGTATTGATAGCAAAGAGAAACGGGAAAAAGCGAATGTGTATAGATTTGCGACTCTAAATCAACGCGTTCTCCCACAAAAATATCCGTTTCCAATTGTGGACAATCAATTAGATCAGTTATATGGGAAAAATGTTTTCACTAAATTGGATTTAAGTGACGGATTTCACCAAATAGACATACATCCAGATGGTAACAAATTTTTCGCCTTTGCTACGCCCCATGGACAATACGAATACTTGAAGATCCTTTTTGGGTATTCGGAGGCACCTGCTGAATTCCAAAAAAGAATTCTGCAGATTTTTGCCTCTATGATTGACGCCGGTAAATTACTCGTTTATGTGGACGATTTATTAATCGCCACTACTTTCGAAGAAAACCTTCAAATAATTCAAGAAGTATTGATCACTTTAAAGAAATACAAACTAGAATTGAATTTAACTAAATGTCTATTTAAAAAAAAATGGAATATTTGGGTTACTCTGTGTCATCGGAGGGCATTAGTATAAGCGATCGGCATATTCAGGCTATTTTAGAATTTCCGCGACCTAAGAATTTACGAGAATTGAGAGGTTTTCTAGGACTTACGAGCTATTTTCGTCGTTTCATAAAAGATTATGTGTTAAAGGTCAAACCTCTTCAAACGTTAACGAAAAAAGACGTCGAGTTTGATTTCAATGAAGATTGCGTCAAATCCTTCGAGTCATTAAAAACAGAGTTAATTTCTCCCCCATTACGTAAGATTTACAACTCAGAAGCTGAGATTGAATTGCATACCAATGCAAGCAGTCACGGCTTCGGAGCGATTTTGATGCAGAAGTAACCATCTGGATGTATGGTACCAATTGCTTATTTCTCCATGGCTACACAGAAAAGAGATATCACAGCTTCGAGCTAGAAACGTTAGCTATTGTAAAAACTATTGAAAGATTCCATGTATATTTACAAGGAATCCCTTTCAAAGTAGTAACTGATTGCAACTCTTTGGCATTGGCCATGAAGAAAATTAATATCAATCCAAGAATAGCACGTTGGTTACTGGCCCTTCAAAATTATCGTTTAGAACTAATTTATCGTCCATCCACAAAAATGGCACATGTTGACTGTCTCAGTCGCTAGATCCAAACAATAAACTTAATAACAGCAGAAGATGAACTAATGTTCAAACAGCTAACAAATGAAAAACTAAAAGATCTCGCAGAGGAAGTAGAACTTACAGGTAGTAAATATTTCACTATCATAAATGGATTGCTATTCAGACGTCATAAGGATCAGGATTTGTTTGTTGTACCAGATAGCATGATTAATAGTATAATAAAAATTCATCACAATGACATGGGACATGTAGGAACAGAAAAAACAATTTATAATATCCTCAGCCATTACTGATTCCCATGCCTTAAATTAAGAGTCCGACAATACATAGAAAATTGCGTAAAATGTTTGGCATATTCATTAGCTTCGGGTAAATCTGAGGGACAGATGGAGATTTATGAGAAAGATACTATCCCCTTTCAAACTCTACACATAGACCATCTTGGTCCTCTGGAAGAAACCATAGATGGATATAAATATATTTTAGTCATGATAGATGCTTTTACTAAATTCGTATGGCTACAGGCAACCAAGTCCACAGGTACAACAGAAGTTGTGAAGCATTTAGAATCTCTGTTTAATAACTTCGGATATCCGAATAAGATTATTAGTGATAGAGGCACAGCCTTCACCTCGAGTCAATTTACGGACTATTTAAAAGATAATGAAGTAAAACATGTAAAAGTAGCGGTAGCGTCACCATGAGCAAATGGCCAAGTGGAGAGGGTCAATAGATTCCTAAAATCTACCTTAGCTAAAATTGTAGAAGGGCCTAAATTATGGAAAGACAAATTGGCTGTAACACAGTACGTCATTAATAATACGCTAAATAAAGCAATAGGGTCCACATCCAATAAACTATTATTAGGTTATGAACAAAAAAATAAAAGTGACGAAAATCTACGAAAGGTAATAGATAATTTAAGACACATAGACCGCGATTACCATCCAGAAAGAATTCAGTCTAGAGATATAGCTCAATCGATCAATAGAAAACTACAGGAATATAACAAAATTCAATATGACAAAAGACATAAAAGAATTACACAGTGTAAAGAAGGAGATTTGGTTCTTTTTAAAGTATTATAGCATAAACCAAACACAAATACCAAACTAGTCCCGAAATATAAAGGACCCTACCGAATAAAAGCGGTTTTGAAAAAGAATTGTTTTGTTATTACAGACGTACCAGGGTACAACCTCACGCAAAAGCCATTGAATACTATTATTTCAGCAGATAAAATAAAACCATGGATACGTGTAAAAGACTTAGAAAACAAGACAATGAGATAATTGAAAGCCAGGATGATGAACCGAATGAATCTGAATAGAAATCTACATAAATGGAAACCTACACGAATAAGAATTTATGTGAACATGATCATATCTAGGCGTGTACATATGTTGACTGATTTATAATCCAATAAGATTTGCGTATATAGAACATTAATTAATAATTTTCCTTTAATTTAGAGTTTATATATGTAAGCTAATATTGAGTACGATTATAATAAAAGCAGTCTTAAAATGGAAAATAGGGATAAACAAACAAATGAAGTTTCTTTAAATAATTTTTAATTATTGCAAAATTATACAAGGTTTTCAAATAATTATCTAATTATATAACGATTAGCAATTAACTTACGTATGCGGAAAAAAAAGGAGAAAGAAATTGTTACACTCGTTCGAGGACGAACGAAATGTCGGTATGGCCGAACTGTAAGCGCCTAAAGATCATGTAGGTTGCACCACCTATGGAAAATGGGCCATACTAATTAGACTAGTTAATCGACAGATTGAGCTGCGATCGCTCGGAGGTCGAGCGTTGCGGGGTGCTTCGAATATTGGAGCAGTGAGATTACGTTGGGAAATCGTCGAGAGAGTTACTACGAATCCGCGAGCGTGCGAGTAATTTTTCGGAAAATAGTCTAAGAGCGAGCGTGCTCTAATTTGAGGCGAGAGTGCTTAAGCAATATAACTATGTAAAAAAAGCAACAGTGTGCGTGCTCCGGTTGCCGTTGGGGATTGTAATAAAAGGGTGACAGTTGCCCGAGACTTGTATCTGTAAAATTTATGTATATCTACTCAAATACAGCACATCTTCGTTTTCATTAATACTGGCTCTGAGTTTTCGATCCTATGTGTATTTGAAAAGCCCTCTTGTTTGATATGCTTACATATACATATATTGGGACGTTGCAGTCCGCTGCAGCGGAGCAGCGTCCCGCCGCCGTCACAAGGCGCGGGTTCGCGTCCTTTTACCAGGCAGCCGCGTTCTGATAAGCGAGACCGAGATCTCCGAGAGGCCCAAAATTAAATCGCGTACATAGCATTTACGCTTTTGAAACTTTTGTATGTACCACAGCGCCTCACCGGACGCACGGAGCATCGACAGCGAAAATTCGAGACCATCAGGAGAAGATCTTGAAGTAGAGGCGACCTGGCGCAGGAACAAAGGGGGCACGCATCGGGCACGTGGCGATCAAGCGACGGAGCGCGCACAAGCCGAGCACGTGGCTGCGCGCAAGGATTTGTGGGAGCCGCCAGGGACGCGGCAAGGAATTGAGGCCCACGATGGGCAACACGGCTGGCGATTTCCCTAGGGCCCGGGGCCACCGAGAGCTGCCGGGACGAGCTAGAAAGATCGTCCCGAATTGAAGGGCGAAGAACGCGCCCATAGCACGCCAAACCGCCACACCCCGGAAGTTGAGCGGCCTCGCGAGGACAATTCGCCAGCTACGCCTGTGTCACGGCCGGACCCCCGCGGCACGCTGCGATTGGTCGCGACCGCACGCGCCGCTGTGTCGCGCACCTTCGGGCTGGGGGTGCAGCTATCGATCGCGTATCGAGCGCGATCTACGCCGCTTTTGCGTGCGAGCGATCGAGCGAGACAGAGAGAAAGAAAGAGCCCGGCTGTCGACCAAGAAGCCCTCGACGAGGAAGGCGAGAGAAAGATCGTGCCGGTAAGGTGACCCTCTGTTTCGAGTTAGGTAGAGCCACGGGCAAGCCTCACACACATACATACACGCACACACGCACATACGCACACACATCAGTTACCTTGTAAAGATTCGATGACTTCTGTAGCTTCATGAGAAAGACGAAATTTCCATTTTGATGGACCACGTATAGTTCCAAATAAACGTTAATTTTAATAAATTTTCGTTAATTTTAATGCAAATGTTATCATTGATTGACACAAATTAGATTATTATTTAGTGAATTCTTTTTTTTTTACATAACGTGTCACTTCAACATTTCACACTCGATTCACATGCGAACAATTCACTGGAAATCACGAGAAATTAACTAATGCATTTATTTATTACGTACTTTACAATTACTATCGATTAATTATCTATCTACTGAAACATCACACAAAGAAACACACGGCGATTTATTAATACACGACCCGTTCACTCGAGGATAGCAAGCAGTCGACTGACTTTAATACCGAATTTATTAGTTAATGCTTATCAATCCCGTGTCTATTAATTATTCGATGACTGAAAAATCACTTGAAGAAAGAAGCACGCAATAATTTACTAACTCACGACGATTTACTGATTGTATTAATAAATCACCGTGTGTTTCTTCGTGTGATGTTTCAGTGGATGGATAATTATTGGACAGTGATTGTAAAGTACGTAACGGATAGATGCATTAGTAGATTTCTCATGATTGTGATTTCTTCCAGTGAATTGTTCGTATGTGAATCGAGTGTAAAATGTTGAAGTGACATGTTATGTTTAAAAAAGGATTAACTAAATAATAATCTGATCTGTGTCAGTCAGTGATAACGTCTGGATTAAAATTAACGTACATTTGGAACTGTACGTGGTCCATCGAAATGGAAATTCCATCTTTCTCACGAAGCTACAGAAGTCATTGAATCTTTACAAGGTAATTGATGTGCGTGTGTGCGTGCGTGCGTGCGTGCG